ATCGACACTATCACCTGCTGGTTTCCGCTTGGTTTGGGAGAAGCACCGGCAAACGAGGGACTGGATGAATCATTCTACCCGGACTCAGGTCTTTCCTTCGCACCGCCAAATCTTGCTCAAGATTCCATCTTCCAGGAAATGCCTGGCTCGTTCTCCAATTACGCTCGGTCGGCATCAACGAAACGAAGAGCTTCCGCCAATGTTCCGGAAAGCAAGAGGCCGTCCAACATCAAGCCCTCCATATCCAACGAAACCGCGAAAGCAACCAAGAAGGATCCTCATGCAACAATCAGCGTGGAAGTCGGAACAGTAGTCGGGCACATCGACTTCTCGACAGGCCGCATTATGTTCCAGCTGGTTGATCGGCTTCTGAAAAGCTTGACAGGGGCCTCATCTGATCAGAAGTCGTCAAGGCAAGATGATAGCCCCCACGATTCTCGAATGAGCATTCAGCTTGCCGTCAAACACGTTGGAATCTCGTGGCTAGAGCGCTTGATGACAGAGTCCGTGGCAGACATCACTGCGACATCTAGGCCGCTCGAATTGAGCCCGCTAGATGCAATCCTTCGAATCACTCTCTCGACCATCCACATCGCGAGCCAGAGCGCTGCAGAAGAGGCTAGAGCTAAACTCTCTATAGGCAAATTTGCTCTCTCCTCGCTCAATGATGACATTCTTTCCTTCCATACTCCAAAGGCTAGATCTCGGCGATCCATCACCAACCTTCCTGACCAACTCGAAAGTGACATCGAGATCGACTATGAGCAAGGCAAAGACCGCAGGATAAGCATAGTCACACGTCCTGTCAAAATCAACTTCGACATGCAAAAGCTCGACGAGGCTCTAAGCTCTTTCGGTGGTTTCAGTGGAGTACTCGAGTTGGGAAGTTCTATCAATTCGAACCTCACCAATAGCCCTACGATGTCAACTGCACGCCCGAAGCCTCGTGGTGTACATTTTGGCGATGCGCCGCCACCACCTGCACCGACTACATCATCTGGCATGCCGAAGATCGACGTGCAATTTGGTGAGGTCAACTTTGCTCTAAAAGGGAAGATCTGCGCTCTACAACTGCAAACAACTTCTGTAAGGGTCGCAGTACGGGCGAACAATCTCCGGATGAAGGTCACAGAGGTCAACTTGTCCGGACCGTACGTAGACGCTGCTCAAAAAGGGGCCCCACTCATGGTAGAAGTCAAGGGCACAACCGTCAACTTCTTGTTCGCGCCAGAAGAGGTTGACCTGGCACGTCTGATATCGATGATAACACCCTCAAAGGATCCATACGAGAACGACGAGGACATACTCATCGATACTTTGCTCCGCCAACGCCGCAAGGGATCCGTGCTTCGTGTTGACGTTGCCAATGTGGGTTTACGCCTGTCTGACTTGGCTCAGTTGCACACGCTTGAGGCGCTCGGTGCAGAAGTAGCGAAACTGTCCAAGGTCACCAGGTACCTCCCCGATGATGACCGTCCTGGTATCCTCACGCTTGCAAAGGTTCAGCAACTCGATGCAAGTGTTACGGTTAATGAGCGGCTTGGTGACGTATCCATGGCGTGCAAAGATACGTCCATGGCTCATGTAGGAGTACCCGCCTTGTTCGCTCTTGAGGTTGGAGACTTGTCGGTCAGGCGAGGCAAAGAGACCCTGATCTCCGAGGTTGTTCACCTCCGTCCTCTGGATCAGCTACCCATGATAATGGCCCGAATCATCGGAGACGAGATGGAGCCTGTCGTCAAAGCTAAGCTATACAACGTTTGCGCAGAGTATCACGTCACAACAATCATGGCAGCCTTGGGTATCTCCGATGACGGCACGGTGGACGACATTGCTCTAGGTCTTGCTTCCTCTGTGGCAACCATCACCGGCACATCACCCAAAACGCTGAGTAGACAAACGTCGGAATCGAGTAGCCCATCAGCGACGGAGTCAAAGCCTCTGCAGATCGACATTCTTCTTAGAGGCTGTGCAATTGGATTGAACCCTCGCAAGATTCCCTCGAAAGGCCTCTTTGTCTTCACAGATGCTCGCATTTCTGGCCACCAATCGAAGAAGGATGACTATTCAATGTCCCTTGAACTTCGCAGTTCGTCTGTCATCGCCATCGACGACATCGCTCGCATCGGAGATGACGAAGTTGCTCCTTCTCGTGCCTCGGCTGGTTCGACATTCGGTGAACGACAGCTCAAGAATTTGCAGGAGGACGGGTTTGTGTCCTTGGGCTCCATCTCTGGTGCACGCGTACAGGTGGACATTATAGGAGAGGGCAAAGATAAGCCGCAGATCATAGACGTCGAATTCCAGACTAAGCTATTCCTCTTGGAGTCTTGCGCCGACTCCACGCAGACGTTGATTGCTATCCTAAATGGGCTTCAGCCACCAATGCCTCCGAGCACGGCCGTTCAATACCGGACCGTCGTTCCCCTCACGCAAATGATGGAGTCTTTTACAGGAGATGCCGTCTTCGCTCCTGAAGAAGCTGATGACGAAAACTTCATGGAGAACGCCGATCTTGTGGCCGATGAAGTACCAACGAATCTGGAATTCGTAGGCAGTTTCTACAACCCGGAATCCTTACCCAGTGAAGAGGACCTAGGCGACAGCATGCTTGGTGAGGATGATCTTGGTGCTCTTGCGCCGGCACCTACCGTCCGACAACGCGGCGAGCGAGGCCTTTTGGAGAGCTTTCAAGAACAGTACGAAGTCACTGCAGGAGAGCAAGACTTTGACTTCGATGATAATTACTTCAAAGACTCAGACTCGGATGTGGAACATAAGGGGACTGCTCGAAAGTGGGATTCAAAGAAGAACAAGTACCAGTTGACGAACGAATTCAAGACACCTGACGCGCCTCTCAAAGTTCGCGTGCGAGACTTGAACATCATCTGGAACCTGTTCGATGGCTATGATTGGCCTAGGACTCGTGGCGTTATAGCCCAAGCAGTGGAGGATGTAGAAGCACGTGCAGAAGAACGCCGGAGACGACCGCGGGAGGATGACACTGACGAGGACTTTGTTGAAGCCGACTATCTCTTCAATTCTGTGTGGATAGGAGTTCCGGTCAAGGATGAGAAGGGAGCCTTAACTCGAGCGATCAACCATGACATTGACGACCTCGTCAGTGAAACGGGAAGCTATGCTACTTCAACCGCCACTCGAAGTACTGGAGCCACTGCCCGGCCACGAAGTGCCACGAAATCCCACCGTCGAAAGCTGAAGCTTGAACGAAGCAAACACAAGAAGATATCATTCGATCTCCGTGGTATATCTGTTGACCTGGTCATCTATCCACCCAACACGGGTGAGACGCAGAACTCGATCAACCTCCGAATACAGAACTTCGAGATCTACGACCACGTACCTTCCTCGACCTGGCGAAAGTTCGCGACGTCGCTTATTAACCCCAGTGAGCGCGAGATGAATCGGCCAATGATCAACTTGGAGCTATTGACGGTAAAGCCGGTGACCGATTTGGCCGCCTCCGAACTCGTCATAAAGGTGACTGTACAGCCCTTACGTCTGCACGTTGATCAAGATGCTCTGGACTTCATAACGCGCTTCTTTGAATTCAAAGATGATACCGTTGCCGAGCCAGGTGGACCTTCAGATCAGCCTTTCATCCAGCGTCTGGAGGTTATGAGCGTTACACTCAAGCTAGACTACAAGCCCAAGCGCATCGACTACCGCGGACTGCGATCTGGCCATACTACCGAATTTATGAACTTCCTCATCCTTGATGGGTCCGACATCGTACTTCGTCATGCGATTGTCTACGGCATCACAAGCTTCGACAAGCTGAATAAGACTCTCAACGATGTGTGGATGCCAGATATCAAACGCAACCAGCTTCCAGGTGTCCTCGCCGGTCTTGCAGCTGTTCGCCCACTCGTCAATGTCGGCAGCGGAATGCGCGATCTTGTGGTTGTCCCAATGCGCGAGTACAAAAAAGACGGTCGTATCGTCCGCAGTCTCCAAAAAGGCGTCTATGCTTTCTCCAAGAACACAACATCTGAGATCGCTCGCTTGGGCGCGAAAGTCGCCATCGGCGCCCAAACAGCCCTCGAAGGTGCAGAGAAGTTCCTCAATCCACAACACGCATCGCCTCGCTCTCCGTCTGCCTTGCATGACTGGGATGATCTGGACCCTGATGCATCCGGCGAGGAAGAGCCACGTGCCCACTCCAATTACGCAAATCAACCTATTGGTGTCAAAGCTGGCTTGCTTACCGCCGCAAAACACTTGGAGCGCGATATGCTCACAGCTAAAGATGCCATCATCGCTATCCCTTCCGAGGTGTGGGAAGAGGGAACGGGTATTGGCATGGCGAAGGTCGTCGCGAAACGAGCGCCGACTATCATACTGCGACCCGCCTTAGGTGCGACGAAGGCTGTATCTAACGCTTTGATGGGCGTAGGGAATGCGCTGGACAAGGATAGTAGGCGGAAGATTGAGGATGTAAGTTTGATCAATTCAAAGTGCGACTCGACTTTTACTGACTTTCTAACAGAAATACAAATCCTACTGAAGAAGAATAGACCTCTGTGGATATGCAGTTTAAACTCATCCAGGCGGGAGCATAATATCTACATTGCATCCTGTCACTCATATTTCCTTTCTTGTATCAATGTTTTCTTGTTTTTTAGATTGCATAGCGACGGTGCGCACGGCTACTCCACCCATTCATTTCACGGCTGGCGCATCTACATCGGCGTTGCATCACACAGCATATGCATTGTCTCTTTCCTAGCACATCTTGTATAGGAGGCGCATTTGGGAAAGTCTGGACTGAGGTATGATTATGGGTGCTGTGATACCCTCGATCGAAATTGATCTTTGTATGCATTGGGGATGTAGAGAAATGTAGAATGAGCGCTATATTACATGTTCCACTAAAAAAATGGTGCTCGATTCACCTTGAAGTTGGTATTGCTGCTACTATGAGTCGTGCTCTTGGGCGAAACGACCAATAAGGTCAAGACGGCAACGAAAAAAATAATGGTGTACGCCAGGAATTGAACGCTGGGGCTCCCGTCCAGCACCGCCAATTGACGGTGCTGCTCTGATGGGCTTTTTACCACTAAACTACGTACACTTGTGTCTTCTAACTGATGGGAAAATTGATTACTTGTTGAGATTTAGTACTTGCCAGGCGGAAACGCATTGGGAATGTGTTCAGTAACAGGGAAGTCATTCTACATTGGCAGCACATTGAGGGGCGCGTTTGTGCCGGCTTCTTGGGCATAGCGTTTGTACAGATCAGGGAACAAGCTTGATTTGAGCTAGTTGTTGGTTATTTAGACGTATGTGGTTGGTCACTGGAAAATGTGATGCGACTATGTTGACATTCATGCCGACAATTTATCGTATCTTCTTATTTAGTAACGGTGACCTTTCTGAGCCTTCTAACTTTAGTTGCAAGGTTATCTCCTTCATCTGCACCGTTGCCGCTGATAAATAGTGCCTGTTTAGGTACAGGTTGCGAATGTGGAAGGCGCGCTAACGATCCTCTCTTCTACCTGCCACTGCCAACAAACGAACGATCACCACACATTGCAGCAACACAACCACCATGAAGCCCTTCTCCTCGGGTAATGTCTCAGGCTTAAGAGACCAGATGCTACAATGCGTTTACAGGCAAGCCACCTCCTCTCACCTCACTAGGCGAGCCTGCTAACGCATCCAGGGATCACAAGAGCAAGAACGTTGAGGAAATGTACATACGGCATCCATGTTATGCGAAGCCCACTGACATTGACGCAGGGTAGCTCAGGAACAAGTAAAGCTGGGCGAGCTCGAGGAAGAGAAGAGGAGGCGTATAGAGAAAATTATGCGCCTGGAAGTCGAGAAGACAAAAGCAGATGACAGCCTCGTGATTTTAACTGCAGCTCTTTCGAAGCGCGAAAGCATGGCTCTCTCAGAACAAGTCTTAGCGCGTTTGCCCCCGGAACTGCGAACCTCAATATACACATACCTCTGGGACTGGATTGCAAGGCGCAAGGCAGAGCAGACACTGGTGCGATGCTGGGGCTGGTGCGGATCTAGCGCCGGCCGATGTAATTGCCAACAGTGGCGTATTCTTCCTCACTTTGTACTACCGGGGTTTGTTGTCGAACAGTTCGCGCAAGAGGCAGCTGCCACCTTCTACCAATCCGTGGGTAAACATACGATTGAAAACATCTACGGCGCCGCTGAACCAGACTGTTTCACCCACGATCTCTTCCGTCGAGTTCTCGTTCCGACAGACCATCTCCGCCAGCTTCAATTCATTCTAACCACGTCACCCGGCTATATCTCCGAAACGTCCAGGGAGGAGTCAATGTCGACCGTTATTCAGTCGATCCTGCGTTCTGTCTAACCCCTGTTCGATTTACGCCTGAAGGAGGGGTTTGATCTTCATATCATTCTAGATTACTGCTGTCCCGGGGAGCTCTTCGACGTACTGAGCGCTTTACGGGATCTATACGTCCACTTGACAAAGGCTGGTGCGAACTCAAGTCTGTCACGCACTTCGTTGGCATGACGTCCGAGCAGTGGTACGAGGAAGATAAGAACTGGCTCGATGAGTGCTATCCCGGTGGATGGTGATGGAAGGTTTGCAACTACGTATGTAGACTAGCGCAAAGAGGAGGGACCGGTTGGTTACTTCGAAGCCATGCACAAGGGTAATGGAATCTTAAGAAGATCGGCAGCTCTTACCACTAGAGACACCCAGGCTCTTGATTCCTTGGGCAGGGAGTATGGATATAACCACTCCAATGAACAATGTTCTACGATGTCTTAGGGGAATATGGAATCTATTGCTCGTGCGTAAGCTCCGTGATGCTTTCGCTGCACACGTAGGACTATTACCGTGATCGTCTCAGCACCGAGTGAAGTAGTCAAATTGCTGAGACTCGAGACAGTGTCGAAATAGTGTCAGTACAATTCTTCAGCGATCCGTACGCTCTGCGATACGTCATTCCCCGTGTATGTAGTTTAGTAGTGGAAATCTCCGAAGAGTTTGCCTCAAGGAGCCACATACCAATGATGTGTCTTTTCGAGCCTGTTGAAAAGCCTAAGCTTTGATGTTCCCGTCTGTAGCAGCATTTGACAAGGCGGGTTTAGTGAATAAGTGCTGCTTCTTCACCGTCTGATGATACGCGCCACCCAGTTTTCTGCCACGTTAGCGCCTTGGCAGCAGTGACATCCTCATCCCCTCTGATTGGCTGATGGCGGAACCTGCAAAGTACGTATAAAATTGCCGGATTTGGTGGGCGCGGACGGTTGGTCGATCAGATCGCTTTTTGCTTCGAGGATTATGGACACTATTGAGCATTCTGCAATAAGAGGAGAGACGCATGTGCAGGAAAAGGGGACGGCAGACGTTGAGAAAGGAGCTGAGGAAAGTTTGGAAAGAAATGGAAGTGTTGCTGGTAGGTACTGCATCACACTGTTGAGAAGGGACTTGGTGCTGAGATTAGAGAATGCAGATGAGGTAGAACGGCACGAGCTCCCTCCTCTTCGAGGCCTGTCGTTTTTGGACAGATTCCTTGTCATCTGGATCATCCTAGCTATGGCCATTGGAATTATCCTTGGAAACACAGTACCATCAACAGGTCCCGCACTACAAAGAGGAGAGTTTGTAGGCGTGAGTATACCAATAGGTCGGTCTTCTACACGCACGTTCACAATCAATCTGACATAAATAGCCGTCGGTCTCCTCGTAATGATGTATCCAATCCTCTGCAAGGTCCGCTTCGAAACTTTGCATTTGCTCTTGCGGGAGAAGGAGCTCTGGCGCCAGATACTCGTCTCGTTCGTCCTCAACTGGATCATCGCACCACTGTTCATGGTCGGTCTCGCGTGGGCCTTCCTTCCCGACCGTCAAGACCTACGCGAAGGTCTGATTTTCGTTGGGATCGCACGATGCATAGCCATGGTTCTCATCTGGACCGATCTCGCTCAAGGTGACGGTGACTATTGCGCTGTGCTCGTAGCATTCAATTCGATCTTGCAAATTGTGTTATTTGCTCCGTTCGCAGTGTTCTACATCCAGGTTGTCAGTCACGGCGACAAGACCAATGTGTCTTATAGTAAAGTAGCGCAGAGTGTCGGCGTGTTCCTTGGGATACCTCTCGGTGCGGCCGTAATGACTAGGCTGATCTTCATACGGCTATTAGGAGAGGACCGGTACCAACGACGCTTCATCCGCTACATCGCACCTTGGTCCCTCATCGGCCTACTCTATACCATCATCGTCTTGTTCGCTAGCCAAGGCGCTCACGTTGTCCGACAGATCACTGACGTCTTGCGCGTGTGTGCACCTCTTCTCGTCTACTTTCTCGTTATCTTTACTGGTACGGCGTGGTTCTGTTGGAAGATGGGATTTGGTTACCGAGTCAGTTGCACGCAAAGCTTTACGGCCGCGAGCAACAATTTCGAGTGAGTTCCAGCTATATGCATGTGGTGAACGGAGCTGACGTCGCACACAGACTCGCTATTGCTGTTGTGGTAGCCGTGTATGGCGCGGGAAGTGGACAGGCTTTGGCGAGTACAGTTGGGCCGTTGATCGAAGTAAGTAGCCCCTGAGCCGGACACTTGAGGCTGGAGGTATCCTCAGAGCACTTCTGCAATGGTAATCTAGCTGCATAAGTTGGAGCGCTAGACTACCCGTTGAAGGGCCGAATATCCCCCCATCTGAAGACCTTGTGCTAACCATATACCTTCTTTGGTAGGTGCCTGTCTTGGTCGGCCTTGTTTACGTGCTGAGGTGGATACGTGGAAGATGGGCCTGGAAGGGCTGATGGTGATCGACACTAGGGTTTAAACAGCTGCTGGAACGGTTGGACGATCGGACGATCCTGGCAGGACCAACTTGTGGTGGTTGCTTTTAGCTCTCGCAAGGACGGCTCATTGTGGAAGGAGTTGGAATGCCACAACTTGTAGCAGACTTGAGCCATCGAGTTGCGACTTTCAATCTACTTTTAGTGGAGCTGTACCGATGTAGATATGGACGATTACGCATGTTCTGGTACCTCTAGCATCGAAGTAGAGAAGTACCCACGTACTAACTCCATGGGCAGTGATTGGATACCGAGAGGTGATGATAGAAAAGCGGTACCAAATAAAGTTTCGCCAAGAATCCACAAGTTCCGTGGCGGCGAACCAGAGTGGTCGGGCAACCTTCCCTAGTTGCTCCGCACTGTACTCCACATTAGCTCGGCATGAACATCCATCTTTTAGGGCCGCAAAAGGTACACGATTGCGTAGCTGGCGTCTAAGACGCGACATGACGGCGTGACTTGAGTGTGCTGTAGCCTCAGGATTTCGGCCGAGAGCTGTTAGTCGGTACTTCGGTCGTGGATGTGGTAAATGAGTGAGAGGAGACGAGCTGTTACCTGGTGAGACGTAACTTCACCATTCCGGGGAAAGCGACAGTATCGCACTGTGGTAAACGCTAGCTCTGTACTTCTTCGGAATCGACTGACCCTAGCCTAGGTCTTAGGGTCTCGTATCGACATAGGAATCGCCTGAATAGCGTCGCTAAGCTGTCGAAAAGCGCGAAAACAGCTAGATATACGCCGTTTCTGAGAGATTCACCGGATCAGAGCACAGCTGCGTTGGACAGATGTAAGGTTCCGCAACCCTGATCGCGCCTGATATTCCTGTCTAGAAGAAACGAGGACCTCAAGAAGCAAACCCTCCTGTCACATGACGATATGCACATTGCAACGCCGAATATGAACCGGTGAATATTTAGAGAACCAATTTGAGCGTTGATAGACGATGAGCTTGCCCACGACGCGAATCGATGCTGGGTTCTTTTGATAGTAAGTTGTTTGGCCAGTAAAGCACCTATGTAGTACATGCCGCCCGCTTTTCTTTTCCAGTGGGGTCACGCGGTCTTCAAAGGCAGAAAGTCGTATTTGACGCTAGTCGTCATCATGATCGGAATGATACTGCCTGATCCATGGATACTGTTGTCAAAAAAGTATTGCATTCTCAACTGTCTAGAAGGAGCATACTATTGAGCTTCTTACGCACGAGAAATTAGCTCTTGTCGTTGTTGCTTTTGCTCTGGAGTGGCACTAACGTTTGTGACATCGTGTCAAA